GGGTTAAGATCCCCTTACCAGTCATCTTTAAAAAAAAAAAAAAAAAAGAAAAGCATATCTGTCAACATATTAATGGTGGTAAATTTTGAGGGTGGGAATATGATGATGGTTATTTTCTTATATATTTTTATCTAATTTTTTTATATTTCCAAAAAATAAACAATATATATTAAAAAAAGGAATTTCCCTAAAATTTCACATCTAGAAAGTAGCCAATTGAGATTCAAATATATAACCATATGACAATAATACCCATCCTTTCTAAATAATATAATTATCATAAAAGTGATGTGTACACACTGTACACAGTTTAAAGGGGCATTTAAATGTCCCTTCTACTCCTGCCTCTGAGACAACCAGTTTCCTCCCCAGAGCCATTGATGTTACCGTTCTTTGAGGAACTTCTGGAGATAAATTTTTCATAGCTAAGCATATAGGGATATATTCTTTTTTTATACAAATGGAACATGCCACAGTAATTGTTCTGTTTCTTAATTTTGTCTTTTTCTTCATTTGACAAGACATCCTGGAGATTGTTCCTTATTTATTCATGTACAATAGTAATGGCTGCATTATGTGGATGACTTCATTATGTTTATGGCCAGCATTTTATTTAACCAGTAATCTGTTGATGAATATTGAAGTTGTTTCCATTCTTTAACTATGATAAACTGTGTTTCTGTGAGTACCCTTGTACTTAAAGCATTTCATACATGAGAGCAGATCTAAAGGATAAATGCCTAAAAGTGAAATGACTATCTCAGAGGGCATATACATGAATACTTTTGATGGATATTGCCAAATTGTCTGCCCTAAAGGTTAAAGTAGCATATGAGAGAACCTGTCTCCTTCTGCCCTTGCCAGTGCTACGAACCTTTCTGATCTTTGCTAATCTAATAATCACTGAAAAGTGTTTTCTCATGTTTGTCTTAATTTGTATTTCTCTTAAATACTGAGATTGAACATATTTTTGTGTTCAGGAGCCATTAGTATTTATTTTCTGGGAACTATCATTTATCTTTGTTTTTGATGGTTTTGCCCTCCAAAATTTTGTTATTTTTATGTAGCCAGATTTATTAGTCTTCTTTTATGATTTCTGTATCATTGTTTTAGAAAGGACTTCCCACTTTGATATATATTTTTAAATCTTCTGTGATTTCTTCTAGTACTTTCTTGATTTCTTTTCTTTGTATTTAGTTCCTTGCTTCATCCAGAATTTATTTTGGTATAAGATGTGATATAAGAATCTCTTTTTTCCAGATGGCTATCTGGTTGTCCCAACACTATTTTTTTAATAATCCATCTTTTCTGCAGTGACTTAAAGGGCCATCCTTACCATATACTAAATCTCTCCATTTGGAGGTATACTTTTTTTATTTCATAACATCAACTATCAGTAGTCATGAGCTCAAGCTTATATATCAGAATATTATTTGAAGTACTTTTTCAGATCGGAATGGGGAATTACTTGGGACATGGAGAAGAAGGAAAGTGATCATGTGGTTCCTAACAGCCCCCAATTTGTGAGCCAGGAAGCAAAACTTGGGAACTGACATGTTTAGCAGCACAGAGCAACAGACCCCCAGCCCTACTCAGCCTTGCTTTGTACCCCTCAAAGAAAAAGGAACAACCCTGATGTAGAGAAGGTGGCTTTGCCTGTGAAATATTCCACATCTGGGATTGAGGTTTCCTTCTGCTGCATGATAATATCTCCTGTTTAACCGTGCCATGAATTACATTCTAAGACTTAAAAAAAAATCTTCCTCCTGCTTCAGATACACACCCCTGGATTATGCTTTGCTTGGTGAGCGCCATGAAGTGATCCAGTTCATGTTGGAGCATGGTGCCCTGTCCATCGCAGCTATACAAGACATTGCTGCTTTCAAAATCCAAGCGGTCTACAAAGGGTACAAGGTCAGAAAAGCTTTCCGAGACCGGAAAAATCTCCTTATGAAGCATGAACAATTGAGAAAAGATGCGGCTGCCAAGTAAGTTGGAGCTACGGAAATTGTGTGCTCACAGCTCAGAATCAGGGTGGAAGTGGGCTGGGGGTGGCGGGGTGGCCAGGAGAGAATTTTTTGATCCCTGTACCAGTGTCACCTTCCCCCTTCTTCCCACCACTCCATCCTCAAAGGGCTGAGGCTGCAGTGAAGGATGAAGGCCTAACCTCTACTTGGTGGCTCTGCCTCCAGATTAGTCCCTGATATTCCAGCCCAGGGACAAACCGCTGCCAAACCCACCCTTTGCAAGAGTTGGGGGTAGGACTGCTATGTAGAGTAAGCTACAAAGAGAAAACTGTTCTTCTCACCCTTACTGCCTTTCCAAATAAAACTTATGTCAACATCTAGCCTATTTTCACTAGACTAATCTGTCTAGTTTTGATTTGATTAGAGCAACCAACTTGTACAAATATCTTGCTCTCCCCCACCCATTCCTTAACAAATCTGTACTAAATAAAGTAATTTGTGTAAGAAATTTTTTTTTTGTCAATATACAATGTAGTTAGTTATTGTGTCCCATCACCGAAACCTCC